GGGTTCGATTCCCAGCACCCACATGGAGGCTACAAACCGTCCTAAACTCCAGTTCCAGGAGAATCTGAAGCTCTCTTCTGACCTCTGTGGCATTGCACAACATGGTGCAGTCACATACATGCAGGCAATACACTCATACACAAAATAAAAATAATTTTAAAAAAGAAATGAATACCTAAGAATAAGCCTAACCAAAGTGAAAAAGGCTCTGCAGTAGGAAAAACCTGAAGACACTGGGATAGGAAGACTTCCACTGTTCATGTGTTCATGGATGAGCAGAGTCAATACTGGGAAAATGGCCACATTTCCAAAAGTAGTCTGTAGATCCAATACAATCCATATCAAATATCCAGTGAGTTTTAACACAAGTACAAAAAGAACAAGCCTAAAATCCATATGGAAGCACAAAAACTCCAAATAGTTAAAGCACTCCTGAGCAAAAGGAGAAATTCTAGAGGTAACATAACGCTCAATTTCACATCATACTACACAGCTAAAGGAACACAAATAGAACAGTATGGCATAAAAACCCATGTTGTGTAACAGCGGAATAAAATAAAGAATTCAGAAATGCAGGTGCAGTCATATGACTCTTCACAAAGGAGCCAAAGGGATAAATGGGAGAAATTTGACACTGATGCTGAGAAAACCGGGTATCTACATGTAGGTTAAAACTGAATCCATGTGCTAAAAGAGCACTGGCTGCCCTTGCAGAGGACCTGGGTTCAGTCCCCAGAAACCAGATGGCAGCTAACAACCATCAGTAACTCCAGTTCCAGGGGATCTGATGCCCTCTTCTGACCTCTACAGGCATTTCATGCACATGATACACTTACATACATTCAGGCAAAAATACTCATACACATAAAATATAATAAATACATACACACATACCCTGAATTCATCTCTCACCTTGTATAAAAATCAACTCAAAGTAGATCAAAGACATTAACATAAGAACCGAAACTTTTAGACATTTCTGCTCATCAAAGGAAACAAATGTCCCTTTAAAGAAACAGTATAGAGAATGAGAGAAAATCTTTACCAGCTATTTATCCATTAGAGGATTAATATCATATATAATATATGTATATATAAAGCCAATTCATAAGCTAGCAAGCATACTCTAAGAAAAGAACTGCGAATGGCCAATAAACTAATTTAAAAAGTTCAACATCTTTAACCATCAAAGAAACATAAATCAAAACTACACTGACACAATAGGCTTTAACACAAATGACAGAATGTATGAATTCCAGTGGGGGGCAGCTATATGAGAGTGTAAATGGGGAAAGGAGTATAAAGATGATTAAGATGTTCTGTATGAAATACACAAAACTTCTATTTAAAAAATTACAAAAAAACCTACATTGAGAGTCTGTCTCATACCAATCCTCAAAAACACAAAATAACCATAAAGTTCAGTAAAGATGAGGTGAAAGGGGAAGTCTTATACACCTACGCATGGGCATATCAGCACAGTCACTATGGAAATCAGTACAGAGGTTCTTTACAAAACTCCTAAACTATCATTGAAACCACTGTAGAGCTTCTTGGTGTATAAGTGAAGGAATCACAACCAACATATGACAGAGAAGCCTGCACACCGTATTGACTGAAGCACCATTCATACTAGGCGAGTTATGGAATTAGTATAGAAGCCAATCAGTGGACGAATGCATAAATAAATTTTGGCATTTATACACAATGAAGTACTATCCACGGCATTTTCAGGAAAATAAATTGAACTGAAGAGCTACATGGTAAGTGAAATAAGACAAACTTAGTAAGATACATGTGATATCTAAGGGAAAAGACATGAAAAGAGAGGGAGAGTATCCAGAGAGAGATGGAGATAGACTTGGTGGAGGTGGAAAACGAAAGGAAAGGAAAGAATAAGTGAAGGCATATAATATGCATACAGGAAATGTTAAATGAAATCCATTTTTACATTTAATTACAATTAAATAAATAAAAACTGTGGGAAGAGACAAATAAGGTTAGTTGCATAATAATAAAATCAAGTCAAAAGGAGAAAATTAGTTTCTGTAAATCTATACATGCCCAGCATTGGAGTATTCAGTTATAGAATGCAAACAGTATATAAAATTTCCAACACACTAGTAGTTCGGGACCTCAAAGCTCACTTTCATGAATGGAAAGGTCATATAATCGAAGGAATCAACAAAAGGCATAATATCTATGTTACACAATCAATGAACCTAGAAGATATCTACAGAGCATTTTATCCAACAGCTATAGAACATTCTTTATTCTCAAAAACACATAAAATATTTTCTAGGATAGACTATACAACAGGTCACAAAACAATTCTCAGAAAATTCAGCATAATCTAAATTATACCATGCATCTTCTCTGATCACAATGAAGTTAAACTAGAAATCATCAAGAGTAACTTGTTGAAGAGAAGAGGGAGATTGTATCCTGGGTGCAAAAATACAGTCAGATTTGAAGAGCAAGTGTAGTGTTCTATGAGAGTGAATAGAGTTTACAATTCATTGCATATTTAGAAAGAGAAATCTGAAATTTTCAAACAGATGGAAATATGTTTAAAGGGCTGAAAATATTAATTGCTAATTATTATGATTGATCACAATGCATGTACACTAATATCAAATTCTTACATTGTACTTCATACAAATGTATAACTATCATGTTAATCAAACATGATTGAATAAGGGCCAGCAAGATGGCTCACTAGATAGAGGCACTTGTACATGCAGGCCTCATATTACCCGAGCTGGAGCCTCAGGTTCCACAAGATGCAAGAGAAAACTGACTCCAACTAAGTTGCCCTCTGACCTCTACACACCTGCCTTGCCATGCTCACACCTGCTCTCTCTCATATTCTCTCTCTCTCTCATATTCTCTCTCTCTCTATCTCTCTCAATTTTTTAGTATGTTTAATGTTTTAAAAATTAAATAAGAATAAATACTCAAAATTATCTCTGGTTGAGAGTGTCACTATGACGATACAAACCTCATATAATTTTGTTTTGTTTGGTTTGTTTTTGGTGTTTTTGAGACACAGTCTCACTATGTAGCATCAGCTGGCCTGGTACTTGCTATGTAGACCAGTCTGGCTTGCATCTCACAAGATCCACCTGCCTCTGTCTCCTGAGCGCTAAGATTAAAGGTATGTGCCACCACACCTAGCGAAGCTGCCAGAATTTTTAAAAATATGTATAAAGAAAATTTTTATTGTTTAATTTAGATTAATTTTGGCAAAGTATGTTGTTTTATACACATAAATTGCTCTATAATATTAAGTAAAAGATTTTATAAAGTTAAATTCACTGAAACATTAGTAAGAGCTAGCATAGTCTCCCTTTTCCACACTAATTCTGGTGAGCAGCTCTACTTAATCAGCAGCACCAGCAGCCATCATTTAGAGGAGAAAATAACCCACAATTAAAATATTAACTTTTTGGTTCTTCATCCTTCCTTTTTTATTTTCTGATATAATATAAACCTGGCTTTTCTCAAATACTGAAAATATTTTAGATTATAGCTTAAGTGAAAAGGATACATTCAATAAAATAAGACTTCTCACTATTTGTAAAAAGAGCATTTATTTTGCTTGACCTTCAGAATTAATTTAACACTGGATACAAAAGACAACAAATTCTGGTGAGGATGAAGGGAGAGAAGAGGGGAACTCTTACTCACTATTGAGAGAAGGGAAAACTTGTGCAGCCACTGCAGAAATAAGCATGGAGGTTTCCCAAAACAAACAAGAACTACCATGTGATCTAGCTGTACAACTCCTTGGCATATAACCAAAGAATCTAAGTGCACATACCACAGAGATACTGGCAGCATTCATGCTTGCTGCTGCTCTAGTGTCATCAGTAAGGAAATGGAATCAGCCTAGGTGTCCATCAGGTGATGAATGGATAGTGAAAATTTGATTCATATTCATAATGGGATTTTATTCAGCTGTAAAGAAAACTGAACTCTGCAAGAAAACATATGGTTCAGGAAGTTTTATACTAAACAAAATAACCCAAACTCAGAAGGACAAATATTGAATGTTCTCTTCATATGTGGATCCTAGTTTCTAAAGCTCATATATGTGTGTATGTGAACATGAATGTGGGAATAAGTCATGAAACTACAAAGTGGATCTGGAGAGTAGGAAGAGGATTGGAGGAAGCAGGGAGGACAAGTGGAATAGAAATGTAAGAGTAGGGTAGGGCAAGGAGGCCGGCAGCAAAGAAAATTATGCTTGAAAATGCCGCAGTGAAGCACGTTACTCTGTATGTTAACTAAAAATAAGAATAAAAGAAGTTTTAACTTTAAAAATTAAAAAGATAGCCAGGCGTGGTGGCGCACACCTTTAATCCAGCACTCGGGAGGCAGAGGCAGGCGGATCTCTGTGAGTTCAAGGCCAGCTTGATCTAGTGAGTTCCAGGACAGCTGGGGCTACAAGGAGACCCTGTCTCAAAAAAAGACAAAAAAAAATTAAAAAGATAGTTGCTACAGACCACTTTGAACTATTTCCTTTTCAAGAGTTAGTAGGGTAGGAATGAGGGACCTACTCCATTCTCTCAAAAGGATGATAAAGACCTAATAAAAACAATTCCTACTACAGGTTTGTAGACCTAATTGTTACGCTCAGAAGACCCTCAGCTTAGGAGATGCTCATTATGAAGCCAAACTTTACATGTATTAAAATATTAAATATAAAACTATATTTAAAGCAAATATAAAATAGCCTACAATTTTACAGGAAAGTAGATAAATGTTATATACCAAATGCTATGGGGATTTATAGAATGACTACAGTATTAAATCTATGTAATTCTTCAAAAAGTTTTCTTAAAATATCAAAATATATATTCAAAAATGTCTCCCTCAAGTAAAAGATTTTGCTTGGTCAGTAATATCAGTAAACATATGGTAATACCTTAACATACACATGTTCAGTACTTTCTAGCAATCATCCTATTCACATCATTGCTGAGAGAGAAATATCATTAACAAAACTCATATGTTGTTGGGCCAGGAGAAAACTCTTTGGAAGACTCTTCAAAGCGCTTTGATGCTCTAACAAATGAGGGCATGGCACAAGACTTCTTTAAAACAGGATGGTATGCTGCGGGCCCTAGGAGAAAACAAGTGTAAAAATAGTAATTTAAATGGCTTAAACTACTGACTTAGTCATTTCAATATCACTATTAGGTTTGTGTTCTCGATCTACAAAATTAGCAACAATGTTAGGTCTACTCTTTCTAAATATGTAGCTTAGGACTTTAAACCATGATTAGCATAAAATAATGGCATCTATTTGTTCATTAAATATAGTAATGAAAATAATTTCCAAAACAGACAAAGCAGCACTTCAATAGATGCATCATAAAATACACTTAATAGTTTATTTCCCAAATATACAATCATGTTCATGAGGAAGAAGTAGCAAAGTTGCATTTAAAAGTATGAGTTCGAACTACTATCCTCAGGCCTCTTGGGGTAAGTCTACAGCGCAGCACTCCACGCCGGGACTCCCTAAGCCTCATTCACCCTTCCCCCCCACCCATCACCCCCCTGCCCCCCTGCCCG